AAAAAAAAAAAAATTACCCAGGTGTAGTAGCATGCGTGTATAATCCCAGCGGGGAGGCTGAAGCAGGAGAATTGCTTGAACCTAGGAGGCAGAAGTTGCAGTGAGCCGAGATCATGCCACTGCACTCCAGCCTGGGCGACAAAGTGTGACTTTGTCTCAAAAATAAAAATAAAAATAAATACAGAGGTAGACAGACAGACAGACAGATCGATTGACCAACTGACCTAACTGTCACTTTGCATGACTCTTTAGTTTCAAAGGGATGATAATCTAAACAGGAGTGTCCAATCTTTTGCTTCCCTTGCCACAGTAGAAGAATAATTGTCTTGGCCACAGTAAAATATACTAACACTAATGATACCTGATGAGGAAACATACACACACACACACACACACACACACACACACATATCTCATAATGTTTTAAGAATATTTACAAATTTATGTTAGGGCGCATTCAAAGCTGTCCTGGGCCACATGCATCCCACAAACTGTGGGATGGACAAGCTGGATCTACCACATTGAGTTACCCCTTTATAGCTACGAAAAATATGCTACAAATACTATCATTGCCATAATAATTCCTGCTGGTCTCTAGTTTCTCACTGTCCCGTGCATGTTCACATGGATACTTTGTAGGAATAAGCTAACATAGCAGGCATGAGACTGCTGTTCTTTAAAGGGCCTGCTTAGAGAGATTGCCCATTGGTTGACATCTGGGAGCTTGGGTTTTAAAAAGATTTCAACTTTTCCTCCTAAGAGTGGTTCACCTAATCTTCTAAGGAGGATGAGTTTGAGAAAGAGATTCAATGTAATTTGTCTAGTTCTCAATGGGCAAGGAGCCTGTTCAGAAAAAGTTAACATTGTAGTCCTGAGACTGCTTTTCCTAAAAAAGGCTGCTTGCATGGTTAGCTCTTCACTGGCATGGGAATCTAGGATTTGATGAGGATTCCCACTGTGCCCTAACTGATAAGGTAGTTTACTGTGCCTAAATTGTTTGGGCAAACAATATGGTTTATGCTGAAACCCTGGTTTCCTTCTGGGAGTCTGGAATTTTGGTATGTCATAGGCAGACAGTCTACGTGACCAGCTCCCAGTAAAAACTCTGGACATAAGGCCTCTAATAAGCTTCATTGATAGATAACATTTCACGTATTTTTGTGATAATTCACTGCTGAAGGAACTGTGTCCTGTGTGACTCTAATGGGAAAGGACTCTTAGAAGCTTAGATCTGGTTACCTCTAGTCTTTGACCTATGTATCTTTTCTCTCTGCTGATTTTATTTGGTGTTCTCCTGTAATAAATTTTAAGCATGAGTAAAACTATATGCTAACTCTTACAAAATTTCCTAGCAAATATCCAAATCCGGGGAGATCTTGGGGACCCCCAACACAGATACTGTGGCTACAAGTTAAGTCATTTTATGCATTTTGGAAAATGAATGCATTTTGGAATAATGATTATTTTATGTATTATTATTTGATGCATTTGGAATGCATAAAATAATTCAGTTTATTCATTTTGGAAAGTGAATGCATAATGAGATTTTAAAATTATGTTTGTATAATAGTTTTTATAGGAAAGTACAAATGAAATTACATTTACCTTTCTTTCACTTTAGAGAGGTAACTGAAGTTCGTGAAGTCACCAGAAAATCAGTCCCTCGTAATTCCCTAGAAAGTGCTGAGTACCTTAAAGTCATAACTGGTTTATTAAATGCAAAAGACTTTCGTGATCGTATTAATGGGATTAAGCAGCTTTTATCAGATACTGAAAATAATCAAGAGCTTGTTGTTGGAAACATTGTGAAGGTAAGGACTTGTCAAAATTAATTTTCAGGCCAGGTATGGTGGCTCACGCCTGTAATCCAAGCACTTTGGGAAGCCAAGGTGGAAAGATCTCTTGAGGCTAGGAGTTCAACATTCAAGTCCAGTCTGGGCAACATAGCAAGACCCTGTCTCTACAAAAAGGAAAATAAAAATGTATTTTTATTTGAAACCTGTATCAAATAAAGTTCAGTTTAAAAAACTGCCCTAAATTTTAATATTTTATATACTCTCTCT